TATAGAGCAATGAAACCCAGTATCCACGATTGCACGTAGCAGCTAACACCTTGTGATGATGAGCAAGAGCAAGCACAAGAAGCAAGAGAGACATGAGAAGTTAGTTATTCCATTAATAGAAAATGTAAAAGCAGGCAAGGCTAATCCATGCTGTTAGATGTTACAATAGTGGTTATGCTGGGGAGAGATGGTGTGTGGAAGGGGGCCCAAGGAGGGGATTCTGGAAAGCTGATCGTTGTTTCCTGATGTGGGTGGTGGCGACACAACTGGATTCACCCTGTGAAAAGTCATTGAGCTGTACTTGTAAGTAAGAAAGTACACCTTCCTGTATGTATTTTTCAATAGAATTGTTTTAAAGCCTATAATTCTAGTATTGATAAGAAGGGGGATTTTTTTTTTTAAAGAGGAAGGAGTGTTCACTTTTAAACTTTCTCTTTTTCTTTACTTCTAGATTACCCTGGCCTGGAGTATGCTGCTGGTGTTTGATATTTTTGGTGTGTTCTTCTATCATTTCCCTCATTACCACTATTATGTGCATCTTTGTCTCTACGAAATATCTCCAAAACCATTGGTATTTTCAGCCCTGCTGGAATCTAAATAATTCAAATTAATGAAGAGAACAGTCTCATTTAGAGTCAGGCTGAAAAACAAGTCCTGTCCTGCTACTACTGCCTGTTTCCATCAGAAGCTTCAGCTGTGATTGTATTTAAGAGTGCGGGTGGCAGCCCCCCAGTGTGGTGAAGGAGGCTGTCCTATACAGGGTGAGCAGCGGGAACAGTGCCATTCCCAACTCATGGCGTGCTTGAGCTTTCATGAGCTGCCTGACTGTCCTTATCCTTTCCCTAGTACCTTAAACTCCAGCTACCTATCCACTCACACACACACACACACCACACAGTCAGCCTCCTTGTGAATCTGGGGGAGGCCTTCCCTGACTCTCCAGGCAAGTCACTATTCCTTCACTCCTTGTATTACACATGGTAAGGAACACATTCTGTTCTTGCTCACTTACTTGTCCACCCCCCTTTCATTCATTCATTCAGCCATCCAACCAACTTATTTATTGAGCACTTCCTTTGTGCCAGTTGCTGTGTTAGGTGAGAACAGTCAGCAGTGAGCCAGACAAACCCATCCCTATCCTTGTGCGTCCACAGTCATGATGGAGGAAGAGAATTAATTAAGCACACATGTACTTTGATAGTTACAATGGTGAAGAAACTTTACAGTGTGATTTTAGAGTTACTAAGTAGAGGGACCTAACTGGATTAAGGGAAAAGAGGGGCAGCCAAGGATGGTCTCCCTGTGAAAGCAAGAAGTGGATTGACAACTTAAAGATGAATGGGAGGTCACCAGGCACAGAGAACATTCCAGGTCCAGGTCCAGGGAATATCATGTGGGAAGGCTCTAAGGCAGGGTGGAGCTTGGTATGCTGAGAGACAGAGAGACCAGTGTAGCTGGATCTGGCATAGGTGAGTGAACAGGGGTACGAGCTATGCCATGCTCTTTTGGGCCATTTGAGTACTGTGAAGTGGAGGAAGAGGGGAGTGCTGTGGTGAGCAGATCTGTATCTCAAGAAGTTCAGTTTTGGGGTTTCTCAATCTTGGCACCACTGATATTTTGAGATGGATAATTCTTGGTTGTGAAGGACTGTCCTGTGCACCGTAGGATGCTGCCAGTGGCACTTCCTTCCCCACAACTGGTGCAACCAAAGATGTCTCCAGACATTGCTGAATGTGCCTTAAGGCACAAAATCACTCCTGATGAAGAGTGACTATCCCAGAACATTTATTTAATTCGGCGAGGTTAGTTTTCTCTGATGAGGGTTTGCCACCTCCACTCCGACACACAGGTGATGAACAGAGCCTCTGCTCCCTGAACACCCACAGATGCTTTGCAAGTACAGGGGCTTGATGTCCAAGTCTCTGGAATGTAACATCATCAGGTTAGTGTAAATGGCCATTTCACCACGTTCTTTCCAAGAATTTAAAAAATGTACTCCTGTTCAGACATTCAGATTGTTACTCACTGCCCTTCCTGCAAACATCAGCTATCTATTATGTTAAGCAGTCAATTCTTAATTGCTACAAAGAGGAATGAGAGGGTGCATAAACTTTATTCATCTGTAAAACACAGTATCTTGTAGAACTGACTCTTTCAGATATTACCACTCAATCCTGAAAAAACTGACGTAACCAGGTATTATGATTTTGAAGCATTCTCTTAAGAGAGCAAGTTTCCACAGCTGGATCAGTGATGATGGAGCAGGGATTCAACCCGGGGTGAGTACAAATCCAGGATTTTGACTCTCATGTCTCCCTGCCTTCTTTCCAGGGCCTTGAGGGGTTACTCTACTCCTCCAAATGAAAATCCTGCCAACTGGAAGGGAACTGGCATCTCTCTAGCACCTGATGTTGAGCACCAACTCAGTGCCTGCTCTGACTTCTCCCATGAAGACCTGTCCCTTCCCACTATCTTTGGTCTCTTTGTCTCATTTTAACTTCATCCAGTACTTGGCCCATCTGCTTTGGAAGGATCTACACCAAAACTTCAGTCCTGCTCACTCCCCATTCCTGCTTTTGCTGGTCAGGCACTGGGCCAAGGGCTTCAGTGTGTTCTTACATTTCATCCTCTCAGCACTCTTGGGGAGGGCCCGTCAGCCCCACATTGCAGATGAGGACACTGAGGTTTAGCGCTAGTGAATGAATGACAGATTTGAACGCAGACTGTGCAGTCCCATCATACTCCAAACTGCCAATTCTTAACCCTCCCTTGGCTGCTGCTGGCTCCTCAGTAGGCCATCAAGGAATGGGCAGTTATCACCATGGGTGACACATGACACAGCACAAGGCTGACAATCTGCTGCTGTATGTTTTGTGGGTAAAGGTAAAACTTAAACATCTCAAAGCCCCCATTTCTCCCTCAGGAAGCATCAAACCAGTGCTCCACTGGTCAGGAAACAAATAGTGACAAGTATACAAGCTAGCAAGGGGCCTCTGGAACCAGAAACCTGTGCCCAACCCTCAGGCTCACAAGAAAACCCCTTGTACATGGCCAACCCTGAGTCCATGTCACTTCCCCTTTTGTTCCCAATTCTAACCTACTTGGGTCTGTCGAGAAAGCTCTCTGCCCTTAGCGTGACCTTGACCCTGTCCCAACCTACTCTGACTAGTGAGGCTGGGGTACTTCTAATGCTCCAATACCGCAAGCTCCCCATCACTTGCCTGCCCATTAAATGTATCCAGTCTCTCTGCTTTGGACATGAGTGATATTTGTAGCATATTAACATTTACCAACTGCTGTTTACACTGGCAGCTGTCTTTGAATGCAAAGGCAACACTATCACAGTACAAGAATGTATTTGAAATCTAGGGACTTGTAAAGGAAGTTGAGATCTGTTCCAGATATCCGTTGGGAGCTCCCAGGTTCCTAGGGTGGTTAGTCGGTATCCTGCAGCTGAGCCTTCTAGTGTGATTGTAGGTTAGGGGCTCCAGAGCTCTGCAAGCCTACCCCACCCCAACTTGCCGCACACAACTCACAGCAGCTGACATTGCCTGTAACTTGACTTCTCAGCTACATCCAGCCCATGCTCCCTACAAACTGGCTGTGGAGTGCCCACCAAACTTGATTCCTCTTTCCTTTGCTGCAGGTTTCATTTTAAGTCCACAGGCAATTTGGTAATTTTTGTTCTTTTCCATGTTTTCCAGGCATTTGTTACAGCTTCTGTATTGGGCTATTAGCCTCTGTGTAAGAAATATATATTTGGTCATTCAGATGACCAGGTATGTACATCCCAGGTATGTTTGGTCTTCATCCAGTTTCTGAGAACACTGCAGTCTTTTTTTCTTTTGTGAGCATATATTTTTAAGGTATCATTCATATACTCTCTTATGAAGGATTCACAAGAAAAACCATGTGGTTATTACATTCACCCTTATTATCAAATCCTCCCTGCCCCATTCCCCAGTGTAGTCACTGTCCATCAGTGTAGTAAGATGCCCCAGACTCCCTATTTGTCTTCTGAGCTATACTGTCTTTCCAGTGACCCCACACACACCATGAGAAAACTGCAGTCTTAAAGGTGAAATGGGTGTCTTGTCATGTTCATGAAACACTTTTGGATGCCACCCAATGGTGGGGATTGGGAGCCTGGGTGGCTGGAGGTTCACTCACTCAGTGGCCAATAATTTTGTCAATAATGACTACACAATGAAGCCCTTACAAAAAACCCTGAAAAGAGCTTATCACTCTCTTGTATCCTGCTTCTCCATCTGGAGAGCTTCCATGGTCTGGGAGTCATAATGCATCCACCTGCCAGAGGAACCAGGCCCCAAGCTCCACAAGGATAGAAGCTCCTTAAATTGGGACTTGCCCTATGTATCTCTTCACCTGGCTGTTCACTTGTATCCTTTATTAAACTGCTAAACATGTTTTCCTGAGTTCTGTGAGGCACTCAAGCAAATTAATTCAACCTAGGGGGAGGTCATGGGAACCTCCCATCTGTAGCCATAAGGTCAGAAGTACAGGGGCTTGCGACCTGCTTCTGGAGTCTGGGATGGAAGGTAGTCTTGTGGGATAGAGCCCTTAAGGAATCTGGTGGTCTCCAGGCACATAGTGTCAGAATTGAGTTCTTAGACACCCTACTGGGTGTTTTAGTATTGTTTGATGTTGTGTTGGGTAGGAAGTCCCCCAGTAAATGCACTGGAATTGGGTCCAGGAACCCTAAAGGAGTTGTATTATTACTGCTATATACTATACCACTTTTGTTGTATAGGAGGGAATAAAACAGCCTCATATACCATTTGCCTACTCATCAATTAATCCCAAGTACTTACAGTAGTGGGTGGCACATAAATGCCAAGTAAATTTGAATTTGTCAAAACATTCTATTGTTTCATTCTATTATTTCATTCTATTATTTCAACATTCTATTATTTCTACAATTCTATTCTATACANACTTTGATACAGCATAAATATGTGTGCCATCTTACATGTGACTCCTTATAGACCCAGCTTGGTTCTTCTCCAATGTCTCCTCCTGAGTGTACCTACAGCGAAGGAAACCACAAGTTACACAAGCAGTATGACCTCAATTTTGCTGCATTCATTCACCACAAACTTTGCCTTTTAAGTACCGTAAAATCCTTGAAAGGCAAAGGGGTCCTGATTTCCTTCCTTTAACAAGTTTGGAGCCCTTTGTGTAGAATAAAAAATGATTTCCTAGTGGTGCTTAAAAACTACACATACCAAATTTTTACCTGTCAAAATGATTCCAGGCTAAGGAAACCCTCTAGTTCTTAATCAAGACAGGGGTAGTGGGGAAGCACTGTCCCTTCCAAATGTACTCACCCACTTTTGATTCAACAAACCTGGGGCAGATCCAGAAATAGCTACATTTATTTTGAACCCCCTTCTTTCTAAACATTAAAAACAGTAATTTCCATATAGTGAGCCATGCATACACAAAAGCTACTGCCCAAGTTTTACAGCAGACTAACACCTCATCATTTCAATACCAAAGCAAGCAATTTGCAGAGCCAAGGCCATCTCAGAATTGTCCATGTCAATCTGTCACGATTTTACCCTCATAAAGGCAAAATCATTAATGTCAGTACTTCCACAAAATGAAGCGCTGTAATTGCAACCTGCTTTAAATACATTTTAAAAGTTGGAAAACAGCTGAGGCAATAGAAAAATCATTCCACTTTTCTAATTCTCTGGGCCAAGAGTATATAAATCTAAATAAAAAATAACTTCCTAGGTCTAGGAGACCCATTTAAGCAATAGATTGCAAGCACCCTCTACTGAGCTAGGCACTGAGATTTATATATATATGTTTCTTTCTCCTCAAACAACCCTATAAAGGCAGATCCCACCATCATTGAACAGGGACCTGACAAGAAAATGATGTTCATTGTGATTTATGATGGATGTCGGAGGCTCTCAACAGAAATTCATCAAACTTGTAGAAGGGCTGAGCTGCCAAACCACTTCAAGTGAAGTACCTCAATGGTCTTTGCAGTATTGAATGATGGCAACACCATAGGTTTTAAAATCTAGCTAAAACTGAAACAGTGAGACACCCCCTACACATATAAATATAAATAATAAAGACCAGAATCTAGCACACAATTAACCGAAGGAAGCGATTAACTGGCCTATCAGACTATAGTGGGTGGCAATTTGCACATACCTTTCTAACAAGCTGAATGAATTCAGGAAATAGGCACTCAATTTTAGCTCGGACAATTCACACCTTAGTCTTCCCGTCAGCAAATTAACTCCACTTAGATTTGCCATATAATCAAATCAGAGTTCTATACTAGCTTCACAATCTTGCACTCCCAAACATCAAAGTCTTTACCACCTAGCAAGAGGGGCACACTTGCTAGGCCCACATTACAGTATCAGTTTAAAAATACTCACAAATTAAGAACTTTCACAATAGTTTTATGTACCCTTCTCCTTTGTGGTCTTATGGGCTCAGTTAATTGAGAGGTCCAGGAAATGCTTCATTTTAAATCAACGGAAGTTGTGAAAACTGTGTAACACTGTGTAACCTTGGGCAAGTATCACTGATTTCTGATGCTTAGCTTTCTTCCCTGAGACCTGTCTCAAGGCCTACCTGTTTTTCAAACAGCACTGGGGCTGAAATGCATGCAGGAAATCTGAGTTTTAGGACTGGCTTTGCCTGGAGTTAACCTAGATGACATAGGGAATCCTTTGTAGCAATTATAGTAACCTCTCTCTTCCAAAACCATCAATTCATCTGAAAGACAGGGCAATATTCAAATCTTTAGAAAAGATAAAACACTTCAAAGATGCACTGTGTGAGCAACATCATCTTCCCCACGGGGGTAACAAGACAGTCATCCACCTTATGCTCTGGCCCACACTGAGGACAACTAGGAAATTAACAAATACTGGAGGACTGTCTGTCCCTAAGCCCAGCTGGTTGGGTGCATGCTGTCCAGAAACCCAGAAGTACATTAAACAAAAATTTTGAATAGTAGTACAGGATAAACTGGATTGTGTGTATCTTTCAATTGCATACTGATACCCACAGGTAATCTTAAATTTAACAAAAAGCAAGCACATGGTCCTTACAGGATTTTATTACCAGTTTTCATCTGAATCCACAGAGCAATGGGGCTATTCTGCCTTTGTTTCTTGGCCAGGAATCTCTTGATCCTGAAAGTCTTGTGAGAAGACTGGGAAGGACGTACAATCAACTTAGATCGAAACACCAAAGCTTGCTCAAATGCTTCAAACTCAGAACTCCTTCAATGCACAAACATTTGAATGCTTCATATACACCAAAAACAACCCTTTCAATGCTAAACCCATCACTCCCTTTGCTTCTCTGAAGGCATGTACTGTAATTCCCGTTGTTCAAATAATCAGTAGTCAGAGAAGTAACCTGCCCCAAATCAGAGTATTAATGTGTAGAGCTGAGACTCAAACCCAGGTGCCTCCTCTCTGCGCCAAAGGTTAGGGCACCTTCCAGTCTTCCCTGCTGTCACTGAAGAACTCAGAGGACCAAATATTAAAGATGGGTATAACTTGGTTTTCAGTGAAAGAGCACAGCTTTTACTAGGACAATCACTTACTTGCAAGTCACCAAGTCTCAGTGCACTGCTTTGTAAAACACACACCTACTTTTCAAAGTAATTGAAATTAACACAAAGTCCCTGACATTTGGTAGATCTATTCTAATTCACTGATTATTTTGGTATTAATTCTATTTAAAATGTCACTTTTTCCAGGACGACTTTCCCAATTTCCTGTTATATCTTTTGGCTTTCACTAAGAACGTGGGTGGGTGATCTAAGCCCAACCTGAACCACCTCCCATCCCCAGTTTGCAGGACAATCCGTAGAAAAGGCATTAGTGCTGGTCTAAAGCTTGGCCAGTGTGGCCCAATATGCCCTTGCATAATAGTAGGGACCACCATAAATGAGGCATAGACTACAACCCTCTCTTTCAGCTCGCGGTAGTCATCATAAATTTTGTCAAGTAATAAAAGTATACAACACCAGATACTGATCCTCTCCGTACCTAGAAACCTATACAATTTTAAGTTCTCAGAGAACTATGACAGGTAATCCCAAGTGACCGCACAACTAGCACTTATGGAAGAATGCCGTTATGTCATATAGACTCACACCACAGCATCCCTCTTTCCAGGCCCTTCCTACACAGGGTGACTCTCAAATCCCCTAACAAAGGGCTAACAGATCCTTTTAAATTCATAATGTGCTATATGCTCCTAGCCACCAAGTAAAGAAATTCCTCAAACCAGCAGCCTACACTCCCTTCTCAACGGGCATGTCGCGGGCAGCCCGTAGTCGGGTCACGATTTCCGGGGTGTCCCTCCAAGCCCCCACAGACTTCTCTCCCTATAACGGAATCAGATGTCTCCAAGAGAAGGGAGAAGGCAAGCGGGAACCCCTGCCCGCCTGGGCGGCGGCCGGGGACCAAGAAGTGCCCGCGAGGGGCCTCGGGCGTTAGCGCAGCCCGCCCATCCCCTGGTGTCCGATCATTCGCTAGCCTCCCGCAAGGCCCGCGGATTGCAGCGGACGCCAAACTCTCTCTTCTCTGCATAAAGCCTTAAAAAGCCTCCCGCACCTTGACGCCGTGAACGGCGCCGGCGAGCTCGTGGAGACTCAGGTCTCGGGGAGCCACCCCGGAGCCGATGGCAACGGATGGACTTGCCATGGGGAGGAACAAAATCTACAAGCGACTCCACGGTGGCCGAGAAAGAGGGAGAGGGAAGAAGCCGGCCCAAGGACGCGTTTAGAAGGCACTGACAAGGGCGGGGCTTGCGGTGACGTCATGCGCCACCCACCTCCTCCTGGCGGGACCTTCCCCTCCGCGTACGGTCTCGTGGGGTCCTGGGAAACCAAGTTCCCTTGTGCGAAACGGAATGCACTTCGCACCACTTCCGCTAAGTGTGTCCCTCAGGACTCGTGAGTGTGCCAGGGCCACTTGGCTTCGTGGGTGAGGCAGAGAGCTGTGATTAAATGCTAAAGTAGGAGCTCCTCGGGAAGACGAGGGCGCAGGGTGCACGGGCCTAACCGCCTGGGGCTGGGCAGACGTCACGTTGGAGCCCAAGGGACCTTGGTACTGGGTTGAGGACGTGGGGCGCCCGGGAGCGGGCCCGGGAATGCCCGTGTGCTGGCAGGAAACCTGCTGTCTTTTCTAGACTCTAAGGAGTAGTTTCCACCTGGCTGGGCGGTGCGGGACGGGAAGGGACAGTGGCCTTGGAGGAAGCAGGAGAGGTCGGCTGGGGCTGGATTAGGTGGGCACAGTAAATCGAGGGATGGCGTGGGTCTTCAGGAAAGAGGTTGCCAATCAACAGCAAAGCTGGGAAACTTCGGTACAGAACCGTTTCCCTGGCTACTTGGAAGCCCAAACTGACTTTGTAGCCCGTTTTGGCAAAACGTACAGGAATTAGGGTGTGCGTATTGGATGTTAATGATTTCATCTCAGCTTTTTCTTCTCCCCTCTTTAAAATGAAAAACCTCTCTGTATCTTTGTAGTCAGCCCACCCATTTTTGCTCCAATAGATTAAGTAAAGGTTTTTAACCTGAGGTCCATAAATGGTATAAAATTTGTAGGGTACAAAAACTTGAATGGGGAAAACTGATAACTTCATTTTCATCAAACTCTCTCATTTAGCACTTTATTTATTTACAAATGTAGGCAACAACTATAAGTGGAATCAGCAGTAACTATTACTGTCACTAACAGAAATCAAAGATGGTTTCATATCATGCTGCAGTTGATGCAGATGTTTCAAAATATTTATACACTCATGACTTCTTTGATATCAAGTAGTTTATTCGACCCACAAGTAGAACTGTGTTAAGAATCCCATGTAAATGTAGCACACATTTTTTAAGAAAATACGTTGATAACTATGTTACAGTATAATTGGTTTTCTTTGTAACTCTGTGTCCTTTTTTCATGCATTTAAAACCTTTCTGAAAATAACTCTACAAGCTTCATCAGACTGCCAAAGGGTCCTGTGATACAAAAATGGTTAAGAATCCCTGCTCTGGAGTATAGTGACAGATAATAGACCAAATAAATATGTAGGACACTTCCGAAATTGTCTGGCAGGAAATGATGGTGGCCCAAAGTAAGGCGGTCCCCATGATGTTCAATAAGACAAAAGAAAATCAAGAGATAATTGTATGACAGAATTAGCAGGACGTAGTCCCAGCTTTTCTGTCTTGGGCAACTGTATCCTTGTGCTCTAGGTCTACAGAGCTAGTATGGAAACCAGAGGAAGTTTGAAGTGAGTTGAATAATTACCATTTGTTTCTCAGCAAAAATTTAGTTACTTTAATCCCATCCAGTTTTATAATTCAGAACCTCATACAGGTAATTTTGCATTTAATTGAAGTGAGACCTCAGGCTTCTTAACCTGGATTTTTATAACTTATTTAAAAGCCATTATTTGCTTTTCCCTTTTTTAATGTATTGTTAATATACAATCTTATGTTGCTTTCAGTTGTACATCACAGTATTTTAACAGTTGCCCACATTATCAAGTCCTCCATACCTCCTCTAGTGTTACTGTCAATGTAGAAAGATGTTACAAAATCATTGACTATATTGTCCATGCTGTACCACTATCCCCGTGACCAACTTACACTGTGATTGCTAATTACATTGCCCCTATATCCCTCTCCCTTGCCCCAACTCCTCCCCTTTGGTAACCACAAGTCACTTCTCAGTCTATGAGTCTCCTGCTATTTTGTTCCTTCTGTTTTGATTTGTTTTTATATTCTAAAAATTAGTGAAATCATATGATATTTGCCTTTCTCCACCTAGCTTCTTTCAGTGAGCATAATACCTGCTAGAATCATGTTGCAAAGGGCAGAACTTCTTTTCTTTTTTATGGATGAATTACATTCCACTGTGTTTATGTGCCCCCTCTTCTTAATCCATTCATCTGTTGACAGGCACTTAGGTTGCTTCCATATCTTGGCTATTGCAACTAGTGTGGTGATAAAGAGGGGTGCTTATGATATATCTTTACAAATCAGGGATTTTATTTTCTTCGGGTAAGTTCCTAGAAGTGGAATTACTTGATCAAATGGTATTTCTGTTTTTAGTATTTTGAGGAACCCCCATAGTACTTTCCACAATAGTTGCACCAATTTACATGCCCACCAACAGTGTGGCAGGATTCCCATTTCTCCTCATCCTCTTCAGCATTTGTTGTCTCATGTCTTTTGGATAGTTGTCATACTAACTGGTGAGGTGATATCTCATTGCGGTTTGAATTTGCATTTCCTTGATAATTAGCAATGTGGAGCATCTTTCCTTCTGCCTGGTGGTCATCTATATTTTTTCTCAAGGGAAGTGTCTGTTCAGGTCCTCTATCCATTTTTAATCACCTTCATTTCGGGGTGTTGGTGTATATGAGTTCTTTATGTATTTTGGATGTCAACCCTTATCGGATATGTCATTTACAAATATATTCACCCACACTGTAGGATGCCTTTTCTGCTGATGGTGTCCTTTGCTGTACTGAAGTTTTTTGTATGATGTAGTTACACTTGTTCATTTTATTTTGTTTCCCTTTTTTGAGGAGTTTGTGTCCAGGAAAGAGTTGGGCATGTTTATATTCAAGAGATTTTTGCCTAGGTTTTTTTCTATGAGTTTGATGGTTTCATGACTTACATTCATATCTTTGATCCATTTCATGTTTACTTTTGTGTAAGGAGTTTGACAGTAATCCAGTTTCATTCTCTTACATGTAGCTGTCCAGTTTTGCCAACACCACTTCTTGAAGAGGCTGTCTTTTCCTCACTGTATATTCATTTCTCCTTTGTCATGTTTAATTGACCATATATGCATGGGTTTACATCAGGCCTCTCTATTCTGTTCCACTGGTCTATGGGCCTGTTTTTGTGCCAGTACCAAACTGTTTTGATTACTGTGTCTTTGTGGTTGAGTTTCAAGTCAGGGAGCATAACCCATCTACGCTTTGTTTTTTTCTCAGGATTGCTTTGGTTACTCGGACACGTTTGTGGTTCCATATGAATTTTAGAACTATTTGTTCTAGTTCATTGAGGAATGCTGTAGGTATTCTGATAGGGATTGTGTTGAATATGTAAATTGCTTTGTGTGGGAGGGCCATTTTGACAATATTAATTCTTCCTATCCATGAACATGGGATAGATTTCCATTTATTGGTGTATTCTTTAATTTGTCTCATTAGTGTCTTACGGTTTTCAGAAAATATGTCTTTCACCTCCTTGCTTAGGTTTATTTCCAGGTATTTTATTCTTTTTGATGCCATTGTAAATGAAGTTGTTTTCCTGATTTCTCTTCCTACTACTTTGTTATTAGTGTATAGGAGTGCAACAGATTTCTGTGTGTTAATTTTGTATCCTGCAACATTGCTCAATCCAGTTATTAATTCTGATAGATTTTTGGTGGATTTTTAAGGTTTTCTATGCATAATATAAAGTCATCTACAAATAGTGCGAGTTTAAAATCTTCCTTATGTATATGGATTCTTCCTTTGGATTGTCTGATTGCCATGGCTAGGACCTCCAGTAATATGTTGAATAAAAGTGGTGAGAGTGGGCATCCTTACCTTGTGCCTGATCCGAGACGAAAAGCTTTCAGCTTTTTGCTATTAAGTAAGATGTTGGCTGTGAGTTTGATGTATATGGCCATTATTATGCTGAGGTACGTACCTTCTATGCCCATTTTATTGAAAGTTTTTTAAATCATGAGTGGGTCTTGAGTTTTGTCAAATGTTTTCTCACAATCTATTGAGGTGATTGTGTGCTTTTTTTCTTTTTTTGAAATTTGGTCTATGATATTAATTGATTTACAAATATTGTACCATCCTTGCATCCCTGGAATAAATCCCACTCGGTCATGATAGATGTCCTATTTGATGTATTTTTGAATTTGGATTCCTAATATTTTGTTGAGGATTTTTTCATCTGTTCAACAGGGATATTGGTCTATAGTTTTCTTTTTCTCTGGTGTCTTTGTCTGCTTTTGGTATTAGTGATGCTGGCCTTAGAGAATGAGTTTGGAAGTATTCCCTTCTCTTCTACTTTTTGGAACACTTTACAAAGAATGTTCAGCTGTGAAGCCATCTGGACCCAGATATTTGTTTGGGAGGACTTTTTGATTACCAATTCAATTTCATTAATGATAACTGGTCTGTTCAGATTTTCAGTTTCTTCCTCGGTCAGTCTTGAAGGTTGTGTTTTTCTAGGAAGTTGTCCATTTCATCTCCATTGTCCAATTTACTGGCATATAATTTTTCATAGTATTCCCTAATTCTTTG